CCATTCATTTTGTGAATTTCAAGATATTAGCATTTATAAACATAAGATCATTTTTTTTTTAATTTTTTAACATTGTTCATCTACTGATAATAAAGCCATCCAAAAAAACTGAAAATGAAAAAATCCTTCTAGGGCTTAGATCTAAGCATCTCATCAAAATGAACGGCCTATGTTAATTGGGCTAAAACAATACTTTCTAGGTTGTGTTTTCATTTTTTTCTTTTTTTGTGATTGTTCATTAGAATGAAAAGAGTGTATATTTCAAAATTTGGATCAAACAAATGGCCATAAGATGGGTTTTTAAGGTTGTTGCATCATATTACTATACAATGGTTGCATGAAATCATTGCCCTTCTTTAATAGTTGGGATAAGCTTAAATTTATTTATGTAGAGTGCTTTATTTATCTAAGCATCTCATCAAAATGAACGGCCTATGTTAATTGAGCTAAAACAATACTTCCTAGGTTGTGTTTTCAATTTTTTATTTTTTTGTGATTGTTCATTAGAATGAAAAGAGTGTATATTTCAAAATTTGGATCAAACAAATGGCTATAAAATGGTTTTTTAACTATTGTTGCATCATATTACCATACAATGGTTGCATGATATCATTGCCCATATATATATATATATATATATATATCATTTACCATTCATACAAGACAGTCACAATTACTTACAACCATCTGATGTGGAATTTGATAGCTTGGATGTTTCACAAAGTTTGAGAAAATTTCTTTTGAAGTTTGAGCTTGGTCAATAGAATAATTGTAGCTACTCAATTTCACATCTAATGGTCAAGATTAATGTAACAACCTTGTACCAAAGGTAAATGCTCTCACTTTAAACTTTCCCTATATATGGAAAAAGTTCATATAAGGTTGCAACCTTAAAATGTGGAATTATAGATGCACCTAAAAAGTCCATCAAAAAATGTTGTTTTAATATTAAAAAACCTTCTAATTGATAATCTGGATATTGAGATGTATGAATATGACAAAAGAAAAAGATTTTGAGTCCTAAAAATAATGCATCTTGCACCACATTATCTAGATCGTCCATTTTCAATATTTTCATATATTTATATATCTACTTGATTTTAAACATTTTTAGAGTATAAAATTTTATAATTACATATGAAAATAGATTTTCATATAATCCTAAGAATGTTTTAAACTAAAATTACATGTTATGATAAAATTTGGAGCTACGGGTTAATTGGATTGTTTAAGGTTGCAAACTTCTAAAACCCATACACAGAGTAAACTCAAAATTTCATACTTAAAAATTTTTGACAAGAAGAAGATGCCCTTACAAATATAAAAACTACATTAAGACTAGCCTATTGGAAGGGAATATTTGTGATTTATATTTACTCATTATTAAAAAAAGTCAAAAAAATCTTTTTAAAAGTAGTATAGATATGGCTGATTGAAAATATTTCCATAATGAAGCTGGTATTACGGTGTTTCGGATGGAATGTGGGAAGGTCACATTCTCATTAATAGATAAAGAGATGTAACCTTCAAATAAGGATAGATAACAAAATGTCCAAGACAAAGAGTCCACTTTGAACCTTCAAAAAGCTTAAAAAACGATTGCAGTTGGTTGTTTTTTAGGTGCATCTAATCTTGATTTCAAATTTGAGCTGTAATACCATACGATATTTCGGATTTTTCTAATCCTTATTCCTTTATTTATTTTATTATAGTGGTTAGATCAACCAAAAAGGCACTTTCCTCGTTTCCCATTGAAAAAAATTGGCATCCTAAGAGTATGATAATCATCTTTCCTGTTCCAACATGGCATTGGAATGTGTTCATGTTACCTCAGAATAGGACATCCCCCTCTCTCAATCCCATATTTCAATAATAAATGGTACATTTTAAAACAGGAAGGGCTTAAAAATTATTTTGTTGATTAATAATTAAAACAATCATCTCCAATAAATGAACTTCTTATATCCATCTCTAACAAATACTTTTTTTATTTAGCATAGGGTTTTAGCGTGTCGACGCTACATGTTCAAAGGCGGTTTCATCCTAAAATCCAACTTAGACATGGGTTATGTTTTCAGAAAATCCAACTCAGACATGGGTTATGTTTTCGAAATTTATCGGTCGATAATCTCGACCACGATGCAAAACCAGAAAGAGAATGGAATTTGGACCTTCAAAATAATCCATCCTCACCTGTTCTTTTGGTTTTGCCGTTTTAGTTTTCATACACCATCAAATTTGAAATTCTTTTTGTGCTGCAAAATCACGGACCTAAAGTGAAAAAGAGTTTGGGGTGACTTAAAGGTATGCTTCAGATCCCAAGTACCGTGTATAGACTGACTTGTCTAGAGATGTACAATAAAATTTTCCTGTAATCGATCCACAATTAAAGCATTCAAAAATTATGTTTCGAGGGGATCAATGGATACCTAGTGTATGAATCATTGTTTTAAACTCCACTTCTTCCACTGCTTTCCCCTTACTAACAAATTAAACATTTAAAAACCCTTCTTAAGAGTCATACATCCCCCATTTATCACGCCACTTTAAAATCTTGAATCATTATCATCAAAACCTTTTTTCAACTAATTAAAATCCGCTACACAAATCCTGATCTACCATTCTCCTTTATTAAAGTTCATACTCTTAATAAGACCATAAACCCTCATATGTTAAAATCTAGAATCCTAAGATACAAAAAGAGGTAGAACTCGTACTCAAGGTCACATTCAAGTGCATTATCTGTCTCTCTCAATAACACACGTGTATATGTTTGCACACAAAGATTTGCTTCAATAACAAATTCTTGTAAATCATAAACACATGTTGGTCCTATGCAATTAAGTAGGAGACCTGGACATACACCCCTTAATTGTACAACAAATATAAATACATAAAATACACACATACATACCTACATACATCGACACACACAACACTGGAAAAATTAACATAAAACCCCCAAAAGAACGCCAGATCAAATCAACATGCTTTAGGCACAAACGATGGGTAAAAGAGAAAAAAAAATAAGCAAATGTAAAAAGAAAGAGGGCTTTTCTAACCACCAAAACAGCCTATTAGCTTCTTTGGGGCAAGGCCAGTGGCCCTATACTTCGCGGCTGTCTCCTCGGCCTTGAGCAATTCTTCACCACGTTTTGCTTCAGTCATGGCTCTCTTCTCCTCAGCCTCCTTGTGGATTAGAGCAATTTTGTTCTTCATTTTCTCAGCATACTCTGCTTTCTGTCTTTCCAACTTTTCCTAACATAGAGGAACCATTGATAATGCATCACTAGGCATGAGTGATTGATTTTCTTTTTACTAAACCTTTCCTGTGAAAGTTCATATTTTTCTAGCCTCTATCAGTAAATAATGCAAGTCATGAAAAAAGAAAAAAATCTAGAGCCCGTTTGGCTGCAGCTTGCATAATGGTAAAATCCGCATTGACAGAGCTCTGACAAAATGCGACTTGTTGCAGGTGAGGTGAAAGCTTGTATTTTTCAATTCATCCAACAGACAAACCCATGTCCGTTTTTTACTGCACCAACACACATGGCATTCGTGAGTGGTATCCATAGATTCCATTCAACCACAAAACTAGCATTACCTAAAATGCCACCCCAACAGATATTATCTGAGGTAGATGCTTTTCTTCCTATTCTGATGCACGCATTGTTCTGATGGACGCTTTATTTTCAGTTGCCCATTCCCATTCAATATCCAAAAGGGCTACAAGATTGGTTATATTTCTCAATATTAACAGATTGGGCCCTGCCGGACTACTATGTGCCAGAGTGTACCCTATCCCTATAAAGTCAAAACTGGTATAGCGAAATATTGGACAATTTTGAGGATTATTCTTCAGTTATTGGCATGAAAGATAATATAGCACTTTCTTCACTATTTGAAACAAAAGGACCATAAAACCCCAGTATATCTATCTCTTCTTAAAAAATTTCCCATAAAAAACAAAAAAGTTGACTATTTCTTGAATATATTAGTAAATAAAGAATGGCACAACCATTATATTTGTTATAAAGTTCGTTACGTCCGATATCTCAAACAATGACAACATTAAGCTGTTGCATTTTAAAAGATATTTGTGCTTTTATTCGATTATTTTAACCCCCATATATAGATCGGTCCCGTACACGATAGTGTTAGCCTTTAATCAATTTAGACATCAATGCCTTGATGGAAAAAATACAACAAGATTATTTACCTTTAATACAAGGAGGTCACAATCAACCTTAGCTGTTGGATGTGAAATCAGGCGGCAAGGGTTGTACCATTGATCAGGCTCAAAGTCCAAAAGAAAATTTTTCAAACTTTGTGACACACCCTAGACTGTCAGATTTCACATCTGACAGCTATGGGTGATTATGACCTCCTTGTACCAAAGGTAAACAGTCTTCCAGTATATAATCCCATTTTCTTACACTTCTTCGCTGAGTTCCAAAAGGGATTGTATACTATAAAGACCATTTAAGGTGGTACAATGAGGCCACAATCATCTATAGCAGTCAGATGTGAAATCTGACAACTTGGGGCGTGTCACAAAGTTCAAAAAATTTTCTTTTGAACTTTGAACCTAGTCAATGGGACACCCCAAGCCACCTAATTTCACATCCAACAGCCCAGGTTAAATGTGACCTCCTCATACTAAAGGAAAATGATATTATTGTAGACTTTTCCTTCCAAAACAAACCTTGAAAGGCTAATCAATTGATGGCGTAACATCCATCCTCTTGCACAATGGGGCAATACGAATGAAGAGAAAGTAGGTATTTTCATTCGTCTTGTAGAACCAAGGCTAGAGGTGGCATTTTTATTAGTTGCCTATTTGTACAAGTTTGTAACAAAGGTAGAGCTTTGACCGCCAGACGTATTCTCACCCATTTTGGTAATAAAAAATTAAGAACTTCGCCCTTTTCACCAACAAAGTCTTAAGTCTTTCTTAAGAGAATTTGTTTAGAAAAAGAGTTTGGGGAAATTTTAAAAAATAAGACTGACAATTACTAAAGGCCCATTAGGACATCATTCTAGCCACATCGTAGCCTTATGTTTACCTACCTTTATGGGCAAACATGACAATAAGCACTCAAATTGGACATAAAACTCCTGGAACAATATCCACATTTTGTGTCGATGGCGTAAGATAGCTTTTTCCTTTCCTTTTGTCACTATCAACAAAACCCCCACTATCGACGACTTTTTCTAAATAAGTGAGTTTCTATTGCAATGAAGTTGAATCCATGAATAGTGGTAAGCCAAGCTGACAGTCCACAAGTTCCAAGGCAACTATAAGGGAGGTTTATACCTAATGCCAAAAAAGCGAATGCCTAAATGGTTCTTCAGTATATAGTATGGTACCAATGTTACCATCACATACTTTTATTGCCTGGTAGCACCTGTCGCACATGGTTATACTTTAACATGTATTGACACTTCAAGACACCTAAGCATCTAAAAATAGTTAAAAACTATCAAGGGGCTCATTCTAGGGTTTGAACGAGTGTTTCATGGATATTAACACAATGTCAATGCCTCCAAGTGTCGAGGACTCTAGTGCTTCAATCTAAAAGGTGATATGGCTAGACACATCCGTACAATTATTATTTACAAACCAAATATTATAATATTTTAGTACACATAATATAATTCCTCCATTGTACCACATGAGAAGTGGATGTGGAGGTGGTAAAGTATATGACAGTAAGCAATTGCTTTATATATGCCATTGCATTCTCAAGTATCGACACATGCTGAAGTGTCGACTAGGAAGACCAGCCAAGGTGGGGCGTCACAAATACACTTAGTCTAAACTTGAGCCATCATTACCTACCGTCCTATGCTTTACTACCTTCCAATGTACTTCTTACGTGATATACAATGTGAAATTACATCACATATATTAAAAGATACAATAACTCTATTTTATAAATAATAATTATAGAGACGTGCCTAGCCGGATCAACTTTTTAGGCCAAAATACTAGACACCTTTGACACTTGTAGACACGACCATTCAGCCATGTAACACTTAACAACACCCTCAAAATCAACCCTCAATCTCAACCTTTCTCAACTTCAGAAAGAGTAAAAAACTTTCTAGACTTGCCCACTGAAGTTTCCATTACAAGAGTCCTTGATATGTGGGCCGGCGATCATGGAAAGCATTGTTATGCGCACCAAGTTTTTCTCCACCAAACTTGCATTCTGTAATTTCAGGGCCCTTGCAAAATATAGAGAGGGCTTTCATTTGTTACACTTCACCTGGGAAGAGGTCGAGATCTATTTTCTCACTGACTGCGTGAGAATGTGTTACCGTTTGGCACAATTCGACAAATGGGCAACTAGTGAAAATATTACTCCTGGCCCTTCTTTTACAAATATAAGAAAAAAGACCTCACAAGGTATTTTAATTCGTATAGTACCACCCACAATTGAACACTGATTGAACAATGTAACAGGGGGCTGTTACACCAATGGCAAATTAAGTAGTAGTCATGAGCCCTCTTTTTGATCCCTTTAACTTGCAATCTCAAGTTGTTCATTTGTGAAAGCAGTCAGAAAAACTATGAGTAACTCATGCTTTGCTCAATAGCAGGGTATTGGACACCAACTCAAAGCCCATGGCATCGATCTAAAATTTTAATCGTGCTTTGAAGCAACAATGGGGGGGAATGACAATGACTAATGTATGTTTTGCTACAGATTTTCCTAATTTACCTGCTAATAGAAAATTGGCTTGAAATCTCAACACCAAGGAATATGATGAACCAATATTGAGATTCAAATGATCTAGAAAAATAAATAAAGTGATGCAAGAGAACATTAAAAACAGTTGTCATTTATAGATTACCAAATTCGCAAACGCAGGAGTAACAAGGACAAAGTGCAGGACAATAAGCCAATTAGTAGTAAACAGGCCTCAGAAAATCACTTCCAGGTGTTATAAATTGGTCGCTTCCACCATTACATGTGGTGAACTTCATCCTCTACAGATTTATATGTCCACGGACAATTTTCTCTATTCAGTCCATTTTTTATAAAATCCAGATGGATGAAAATATTTAACTGACACCTCCAGCTGTTTACTACTTCACAACTTATAGCCCACTCTCCTCCTGCGACTCGTATATAAATGATACAGCAACTCATGTAGAATATGGCAGCCCATGAACAAAAACTAAAAGAAATTTGATTTTTTTTTCTTGCATCCTTGTTTTTCCTTTATTTTCCTTGTCCATATTCATTTGGATCCAGCCACCATTTTATCACATTCTTCGGAGCTAATCTTCATCCCAACTATCTATCTCTAATATAAAACTAGAAAATTAGGATGACTCTAGTGAAGGACATAAAGAGTTTTGTCATTAGAAAGTCTTGATCCTCAATGCATGGATTAAATTAAAGGGTAGGCTCCAAATGGATAACCTTCTTCATTAGTGATTGGCATGAGCCATTTGTAGCCTTTCTCGTTGTTCCAATTGATCAATATCCATGAATTTTGAAATGAGGGGGTCAAAACAAAGGCCATTAACTAATGAATGACAGTCTTTTCCCTGTCTTGGAACTTGAAAGGGTTCTTCTCTAACTAAGAAGACAACCGTGTTGGGCAGGCTTCGTATGTGTCAAGTGTGGACATATCACATGTTGATATGTCAAACACATAACCCAACACATCTCAAATGGGTCATCATATATGAGTTGAAACCCTTTGGGACAAACATGTGACACGTGGTCTGCCAAACTTCATCACGCTTGTGTCAAGTCTGGACACGCATCTCTAACTTTGGACACCTGTGTCCTTCATTTAGATACATATATTCATAATTTGACACATGGATATGCAATTCTGGTTAAAGATTAGAAACTATACTAGGATAAAAGGAACCATATTGTAAGATAAGTCATTTATTAAACTCCCATTCCCAAAATGGACAGTCAAAATGGATCACAGCACCATTATCAACATAGCTCATATCATTGACTCATTATTGTCCCGGCAGATATCTCTGTCTTGGAGATGGAGAGCTAAGATGATATGTATCATACACAAAGCATCAATGTATGGTTTGGTCAATCAGAAATCCATTCCAAAGTGGATGGATTATGATTAGCGTTTTAAAGCAAGGACCTGGTTGGGTATTCACTAGGGTCTGGAGTCCGATTCAAGCAACTTGATTTAGCTGAGTCTGGTGGAGACTAGGCCGAGAGCTAAACAAGTTAACAATCATATATTGGTGAATCAGCTCCCATGATTTATATCGCGGACTCGGCATCTTGCCGAGCTTGGACGAGTCCGAGTCCGAGTCGGACACCCCCAGTTCCCAAACAGTGGTTAATATACTATGATCAAGCATGCATAGTACCAGTCTCTATAGATGCAAGCTATGAAATAGCAAGTAAAATTAATGGGAAAAAAAAACAAAGAATGAGGAGGTCAGAAAAGCCACATAAGGTAATAGTGCAGAAAATAAACCTCGATCTTTCTCAGTTCGGCTTCAACAGCTGCCTTTTTCGAATTTTCCCAAGACCCTATGGACGAAAGCTTCTTGTAACACCTATCCATGGACATAAAATGAATCAATCCTAGTTTAAAGCACCAAATATAAGGCCCATTGAGTCAATATTTTACTATGTGGATTGTACATAATGAGATCGTCAACTTTTGTACACAAAATTCACAAATACTAAATAGGGAGTGCCTGGTTTCTCTACTCAAAGTCCTACAGAAAATTTCTCGAATTCGAGCTTTATTATAGGCAAACCTCCAGCCAAATGAAAAATATCTCTAATTCAAGCAATCTTAACGGCACACCTCCAGACACCTGATTTCACATTTGATAAGTCCGAGTAAATCGCCCATGTCTAGTGTGCATTTTTTAAAAAAAGAAAATGAAGAAAAACATATAATATGTAAATTAAGTGCGAAGTTTTATAACATCAAATAGCCAATGGTGTGCCGTGGAACGTTGGGCCTCGATTTTTTTAAAGTTTCTATGAAGTAAAAACAGTGACAAGTCTAATCAATGGTGTGTTGATTATGCCGTGGGACGTTTGGGCCTCAATTTTTTTGAAGTTTATGTGAAGTAGAAAAAGTGACAAGTTAGTCAACGGTGTTTTGGTTATGCCGTGGGACGTTTAAGCCTTGATTTTTTAAAAGTTTCTGTGAAGTAAAAAAAGTGACTAAGTTTTTATTTAAAGTTTCTCATAAGTAAAAAATGTGACAAGTTTTTATAAAAAACGGGATGTTCTACCCACGATATCTGCCAAATCTCACGCATAAGCGATAACCAGCGACACTTGACGACTTATGTAACTTAAATGTGACATATAAATATAAGAGTAATGACACCATGAGATCCTCCCACACGTATCTGGGTAGGACCCCAAAGGACCACAATTATCGCAGTGGGACTTGACTTTTTTTTAAACATCAGTGCCAAATTTAACGGTGATCCTTTGATATCCTACACAAATGGGTGTGGGGATCATTACCCTAAATATAAATATACTTTATAAAAATTGTTGCTAGACTTGACTTTTTTAAAACATCAGTGCCAAATTTAATGGTGATCCTTTGATGTCCTGGTAGGGATCATTACCCTAAATATAAATATACTTTATAAAAATTGTCGCTAGCAAGGCCGAGTAACTCGCACAAGTTTCAAAACCATGGTATTTTTCTTCCGGTATTTTATCGATCATAAGCTCTCTCTTTCTCTCTCTAGACACGTGAATGTGTCCCCACATGTCTCTCATGTGGACCCCCTCTCTTTCTCTCTCTCAAAAAAGGATTGAATGACTCTCTCTCACACACACAAACATAGAGTGAGAAGCATCAAAAAGGATGGAATGAAATCTTACTTGTTCTCAGCTTTTGTTTTCTCGCTTTCTTCCCATGCCCTTATAAGAGACATTCTCTTCTCACTCTCAACCTTTGCAAGAACCGCATCTGAATATATGTATCGAGAGAAAAGGAGTAATTTCCCGGGATTAGTTAGAGACAGAGAAGAGAGAGCAATTAAATTTCAAGGATTTGATGACGAGAGAGAATAAATTCAAGGGATTAGTATAAACCTCTGTCAATGGATCCTCCTATGCTTTTCTCCACGTCCAAAGAGGGAACAGGATCTGCAACCTCTGTAACGATTTTTATTTTAAATGCCGAACAAAACGAAAAATTAAGAGATTATATGACAAAAAAAATATAGGAAAAAAAACAATTACCCCCCTTCTAAGAATGTTTTCGAAATTTATAATAAGGAAAAGAAATTGGGGACCTCATAAGCCATGGGTTCAGTAAATATAAAAAGGGAACAAGTTTAAAACAAACTGAATTCAATAAAATAATTAAAAAGGAATAATAACTATAAGATAAATTTCATCAAGAGTAAAAAGAAGCATATTTAATATCTCTTAGAATAGCAGAAAAATTAGTAATATTCCAGGAATAAAAAAGTGAAATATCCGTGATTTGGTAAAATCAAATGGTACTTTACACAAATCAGGTGAATTCAGCAAAGAAGGTTGAGAGATCGTGGTCCCGCGTGATCAAAATTGAAGAGAGAGAGAGAGAGAGAGAGAGACTCCTAAGAAGGCCCAGCGATAAGGGCCCAATAAGGCCAAAATATGAAGGCTAGAAACCATAGAGGGAAAAAAATCGTAGAGAAAGAGAGTCCCCAAAAGGTTAGGAAATGAAGGCCCAAAAAAAGTTAAAATTAAGATTAGAGGTGGAAGAGAGAGAAGGTTGAAACTTGAGAAATAATGGGCCCAAATAAAGACAAGAGGAAGTCGTAAAAAGGCCAATTTAAGTCCAGATTGAAGATAAGAGGAAGGATACAATTCCTAAATATGGCCAAAGTAAGACCATAGAACCATATTTCGCAGATAAACTCGTAATAAAGCAGAGATATTGTGGTCGGAAACTTGAAAGAGAGAGATCAGAAAAGGGCCCAGACTTAGAGACCCGATTGGACCAAACTAAACCTAGAGAGAGAGAAAGAGCCCAGATTTAAGGCCTAATTAGACCAAACTAAAACTAGATAACCATGAAAACAGAGAGAGTTCTAACAAGGCCTAGAAATAAAGGCCCAAGAAGGCCAATCGGCACTAGCGAACCAGAGAGAGAGAAAAAAAGCATAGAAATATAAATCCGAGAAGCTCAATCAACAGTAGAGAACCATGAAGCCCAGAAATAAAGGCCCAAGAAGGCCAATCAAAACTAGAGAACCATGGAGAGAGAGAGAGGGAGAGATTTTCAGCAAAGCCCAGAAATAAAGGCCCAAGAAGGCCAATCAAAACGAGAGAACCATGGAGAGAGAGAGAGAGGGAGAGATTTTCAGCAAAGCCCAGAAACAAAGGCCCAAGAAGGCCAATCAACGCTAGAGAGAGAGAGAGAGTTACTTTCAACGACAGCAAGAGCCTTTGAATCGTCTTGAGGAGCCGGAACAGGTGGAGTCTCATTAGTTCGAGGAATCACAGTCTTCTCCTCTGCCACATCTCCACCCATCGCCTTTGCCTCCTCTACTCCCATTTCTTCTCCTTCTCTCTATCCCCTGCCCCGCTAACTTACTACAAACCCCTAAATTTAGCTTACCTCTTCCACCTCTATTCAAACGACAACCACCT